TTTTTTTTTTTTTTAAAGTTTGGTTTCCGTTTTTGTTGTTTGCCTTTCAATTTTTGTTTTCGTTTTTGTTTTGTTAATTTTTGTTTGTTTTTGTTTTTAATTTTTGTTTCCATTTTTGTTTCTTAAATTTTTGTCTTTGTTTAGTTTTTGTTTTTCGTTGTCGTCTTTTTTTTTCTGTTAAAAGAAAAGGAATAAAAACGCAAACAAAAATTAAAAACAAACAAAAATTAGCAAAACAAAAACGAAAACAAAAATTAAAAAACAAAAAACAAAAACAGAGACAAAAATAACAAAAATGAAAACAAAAACAAAATTGCAAAAGGCCAAAACAAAATCAGTGAGTGTAGACCATCATGCTTTGCTGGCAGTATCCATGACATGACTGTTGTGTGATCTTTTGGCCGTCAAGCATAGTCACACATCAGTTACTATAATCTCTACGGCTATTTCATTGCTTGTCTACTTGTCTTGGGAGAAGAATATGGCAAGTACAAAGGTCACAAAGATTTCAAGTAAAGTTAAGGATATTTCTTTATCAACTTCATTAACTTGTAAAAAGGTGTGTATAAATAAAGCATATCATTTTGAGAGCTCTCAAGCCTCACGCAAACGAATGTAATCTTAAGCTCTCACAATGAACTAATTATTGCACGCGCACCTTCGGAGCTTGCAAGACTTGCCTCATTTGTTTTGAAAGTCTGGCTGCGGCCCTAAACTTCTACTGGCTTCAAAAGCAGCGAAGAAATTATTTTCACATTCTACCATGATTGTTTTGTTGTTTGCGTGTTCAGTGTTTTATTTCTATTTTATTTTTTGAGGTTTTCATGTTTGAGTGTGATAGAAACTTGACAGATGCAAACATATTGCATGTGAACTCCTTTTAGCAAAGGAGAAAATATTGGAAGGGACCCATACCTTACTTAGATCTACTTAGGCCACTGAGGGAGGACATGAGCATTTGTCATGACATTTGTCTTGGTCCTCAGAATTTGCCTTTCGGTACCACACATGAGTGACCCCCTTTGTGGTAAATGTCCCGTACTTACTACTTTCACGTCGTGGATTGGAAAGTTCCCAACTGCAAGTGAAGCATGATGGTCTACACTCATCGATTTTGTCTCAGCCATTTTTGTTTTTGTTTTCATTTTTGCTTTTGTTCAATGTTTTTGTTTTTGTTTCTTTTTTGAAAGGAAAAAATGCCAAAACAGAAACGAAAGGCAAGATGAAAACTAAAACAGAAATTACAAAAACAAAATAAAAAAAAAACAAAAGTTGAAAATACAAAATTAAAAAGAACAAAAAAATAACACAAAAATTTAAAAACAAAACAAAAATAAAAATGGTTTGTGACCCTTCTGGGCTGCTGTGCCTATCCTATCTTGTCAGGATCCCATATCTACCTCCCTAACCCTAAGTAACCCTGACCACAACCCTAACACGTGTACACATGTACAGCTGTAAAAGGAACGAATTTAGGCCATAGCAAATGCAGAGCTGCCATATACATGTAAGCAATTTGTCACAATATCAAAAATATCTTTACATTGCAGGTGGATTTGAGGTAAATTTTATGGATGATGTTGGGCAGACATTGCTGAACTGGGCATCTGCATTTGGAACCTTAGAAATGGTAGGCCATGTAAGATCTTCATGTAGCTTGTAAGATGCTTTCATGCAGTCAGCACTGTCAGCAGTAACAAGGATTCATTTTTGT